TAGCTCAAGGCTTTAAACAGGGTTTTACAGTCCTGCAAAGCACCTTGCTTCTGAAGCTATGAGCTGCTTTCACTCTTCAACAAAGCTGTGCCAGTTTGGTGCAATGTGTGCTCAGGCATCCTTGGGTGGTCGGTTTGGGCAACTTACTGTCCTGCCCTGCTTAGGGGAAGGCACCAAACCCATTCTCCCAAAATAATCATCATCTCCTTTAATTCCATTTGGATAAGAAAGGAAACAAACTAAAACAAACCAATACCTTTCTGTTGATGAGTAAATATACTTTGCCTATTGCTGCTGCTCACAGGCTAGCAGTAAGCAGATACAAATTTCTGTAATCTGCCCCATCTTCAGTCACTGCTGCGTCCTGCAAGACTACACAAATGAAGGTGGTGGACCAGCACTCCTTTGTTGGTAGCCCCATGGCTGTACTCATGTGAGTAAAAGCTGCTGAGGAGACTCTCCTATTTAAATTTAGGGGAACTGTCATTTTCAGATTAAATAGTCCTTTGGTCTCTCCTGCCTTAAAAGAGTGAACTTATTGATAATGAGAACAAAATATACTGGACCTGGAGGTCCATGAGGATAAATATTTGAGAAGAAAGAGATCTTGCAATTTAAATCCCAGAATCTGTCAGGGAGGTGTGCAGTGCCTACTGTATGCTTTGACAACAAGAGGTAATACCTTTTTCTTTCCAATGAGTGATGATGAAGCAAGGTCTCCTTGTGTTCTGGAGCAGCAGGTTGGCTCAGGTGGAAAGTCTCTAGTTAGGAAGCAGATCCGCTAAGGAGATTTAACAAGCGTTGATTTGGGTGACAGGCTGGGTTGGCAACACTGATAGCCATGGTGGGTGGGATCACGGGGTGCTGGGATCTGAACAGTGCACATATTTAACCTCTTTCTTTCCTCTGTTTTCCAGGGATAATTCAAGCTTTCGAAACACAAAAATCACATTGTGAGAACAAGAGTTGGCACTAAGCTCCTCTCTCCGTGTTGACAGCACTGAGAGGTTTCCACCAGTGCTCTCTGACCTCTGAAGGGACTCATGGGCCACTCTCGCACTCCTTCTCGGAGGAAGGATCCATCTGAAGCCCTCCAGCAGTGGTGATGATAGAGGCTGATTTTGTCATACACAAACTTTTTTAGCAGCAGGGCGGGAGGCCAACCTTTCGATTAGCAGTGTGCCCTTGGGGCCGCATCTTGCAGCACTTTCCTCTCTTTCTGTACATGGCATGCAGGATCTCTGGGATTCTGCCTTGATGTCAGAGCCTTTCGCTGAGGGATACCAGTATTATAAATCTCTCTGCAGCTGGGAGGAGCTTCCCAGTTGAGAGTCAGCCCCATGGTTTTCAAATGCCCACTTTCAGCTCTGCCAATAAATTATTGGGTCTCTTTGTTTCTTTCAGTCTTTTTTTCTTCTTCTTTGTCTAAAATAGTGATGTGGTACTTCTCTAGCCTGCAGTGAAGCCCTAGGGCTGTTTCTGATAGCTCCATCTTTCCCTCAGCTACCCACCTCCATGACCCTTAGCCCTGCAGCAGCAAAGCACTCCGAATGCCAGGGTGGTCAAACTTCATTGTACTGGGGGAGTTATGTGGACATGCAGTAGTGCAATGGTTCATTTGAAGAATTAGATGATTACTTTGTCTTTGCTTCTTCATATTCCCTGGTTAGCAGTGCCTTGCACCCAGCCTTCCATGTTTGGGAGAGGGCTGCAAGCTGCCTATAAACTAGGACAAAGAGGTATTTGGTGTCACTTGATTGCTGTACTCCAGCCATCTCACTGGAGAACCATCAGGAGAGGGTGAATGTGGGGCTGTGCATGCTTCTGTAGGCAGCTGGGCTGGGGTGTGCTGTTGTTTGTGAGTCTCCAGCCATCTGCGAAATGGACTCCAGTGGCTGTAGTGAAAGAGGGTGATGGCCTGGACTGCTGCTTGGAGCTGCATGGAAGCTGTGACCCCCTGTCTCCTGTGCTCTGGGGTAAGGCTGGACTGATGTGTTGCTGCTTGGGAAGCCAGCATGGCTGCAATTCAGATGCCACGGAAACAATAGGAGCTAATTATTTCCTCTGATTCTGCTTGACTACAACACTAATTGTACTCATTAACAGCTTTAGCCTTTCCCCTCTTCCTTAGGGAATCGCACAATTGCCTTTCATTTTTAATAGAGCCTTTGCATGGGCCTGAGGGGGAGGCTGCGGCCGGAGCTGGGGCACACCTCCTGCCCTATGCTCTCTGCACAATCCCCCAGGAGAAGGGGCTGCTGGAACCTATTTGGGAGTGACTGCAGAACCAGCAACCTGTGTCTGGGACAAGTTCTGGCCTTGGGGCCCGGGAGACCTTCAGCCTCATGTCTTCAAATTGCAAATTCCATGTTATTATTGAAGTCTAGACTGAAAGCAGCCAGGACCAGCAGAGAAGACAGCCTGAAATAATTCAATCTTCTGAAGGGCTTGTTTTCCGCATTGAGGGTTTCGGTCCCAGGCGGTCTCTGGAAGCATTCAATGCAGTGACAGCGATGACTAACTGCCCCCTGCGGCCACCTCCCCACGGCCATGCAGCTTGTACCTCCTGGCATCTGCCTGGGCAGGGGGGAGAGGCCATTTCCCTGACTGTGGCATCGCTCTTCGTGTTTCTTAAGACCCCACAGCCCTGTTTCTGTTCTTGCCACTCGTTTTCCACCAGCTTTCAACCAAACGATCTTTCACAGGCGCAGTTTGTTTTCCCCACTGTGATCAGGTACTACTACAGCTGCTACTTAAAATTCCTTTTAAATACAGCTCTCCCCTGCTGCTCTCTGGTATTTGTTAGGGGGATTTAGTTGTAATTACATTTTAGCAATCTAAGCAAAAATAGCCTTGCAAGGCAAGGCTGAAATACTAGCTGCAGGCTCCTTTCATCCACAGTGCATTTAGCTCCTTGCAGATGACATCACTTAGAGCTTTAGTCCTGTTGTTTTGCCCAGCTGTGCGTCGCGTCCACCTCTGCTATTTCATGTACTCGCCCACTTCTTGCCTCTGATACCCTGTGTCTAAGCTGGGCTGATGAGTGCAGGCTTGCTATTAAATCTGAAAACGCTGCAGTCCTGCTGTGCTCGCCCTTAAATAATCATTGCAAGGAAAATGCAGAAGAGCCCTTCCATGGGGCTGTTCTTTCCTTCCTGCTGTCACTGTGGTGGAGGTTTGGAGGAACCCAGGCACTGGTTCCTGTTAGTTGAGGAGTGAGCTGAGTCCTGCTAGTATGAGTGGTGAAAAGATGGTCATAATTTGTTTGGGAGGGGAAGGAACCTGTCGTGCTCGAGCAAAGGTTTCACATGTTCATTCAGGAAGCAAGCCTGTGTAGGAGCCCCAGATCTGTGCTGAGTCATGACCTTCCCTGCTCTCATCAACAAGGCTTTGTCCACCCTTAAGCTTGCCCAGATCTCTGTGCAGCAGCCTTTGAGTAAACCACCAGTGCCTGGAACTCCTTCAAGCCGTGGAGTCATTGCCAGGTCTTTGCTTTCCCTGGGCAGGGGATGCTGGGCTGTGCCAGGCTGTGAACTTTGGCTGTCTGGGTACAGGTAGTCACATGGGGGCTGATGGCTGAGTTGGGGGTTCAGAGAATAATGGTGGGAGCTTATGGGGTGTTTCCAATCTGGAACCACGGAGGAAAACTGCTTCCTGACTCAGAAAGAGGTGAAAAGAGTCCCCGATTTTGGAGGTGGAGCAGGTGAGTAGTGGTAGGCAGGGGGAGATGTTGCCCTTATTAGTGCTTCTTGATGGGGCACATGCACCTGGGGTTGGTGCTGGGCTGGAGGAGATTTTTCCCTTTTGCAGCACATGCTGTGCAAGCTCTGGGCAGGGTGACCTGCAAAGTGTTCCTGCACCAGAGCTCATCAATGCTGCACCTCCTTAGGGAGAGAAAGCCCAGGGGCTGGGATGTGTCTAGTGCTATGGCTTAGGCAGCTGAGATCAGCTCCTGTCCCTCGTAGGGCTGGCGGCATTTGGCCAGGGCACTCCCATCCTTCCAGCCACCCTGGGCCTGGTGATAGGACATCAATGTGCATGGCTATGGGGGCACAGGGGCAAAATGAGGCCACGTTGCTGTGCCTCTCTGCTAGTGACACGTACTGCCTGCCAGCGTTCCCAAGCTGGCTCCCGCACCCCCCCTGCCAGCAGGGACAAAGCTGCAGGTCCCAGGGGTCAGGGAGGAGCGGGGGGGAGAGGGGACGTGACACTGTGGGGGCAGGGGGAAAGGACTGTGCTCAGTACATGAGATGAGGCACTGAAGTGGTGCTTGTAATAGCACCATCCCCAAAGAATATTTGGGTGCTCTGTTCTTTTCACTCAAAGCCACTTGCTGGAGCTTGCCAGGGAGCAACGGCAGCTGAATTGCTGTGGCTGGCATAGAAGTGGAAGGAGGAATTGCCTGTTCTCACCTGCGGCCCCATTGCTGCCCTATTGCCGCTGTGAGGATACGAGGGCCTGCATTTGCCCACAGCGTTGAGGCTGTGGATTTGCAGGGGGCAATGTGAATCTCACTGCTGGCAGATCTTGCAGTGCATGGCCCGTCAGATGCCCAACTCTGCTCTGGTTCCCCCTTGTCCCACCCCTCAGTGCCTCCATGGAGTGCTGTGTGGCTTAAAGGTCTGTAGCACCGTCCCTGTCCCCAGTTAAGTGCGACCCTCAGGGTCATGCCAGGGCTGTCCAAAGAGAGTAACCGCACCAATGGGTACAAAGATGGTCAGGAGCTCATGAGACCACCACGGGCTTTACTTCTGCTTTCAGCACTACCACAGCCACCCCATGCTCCAGTCACCACTCTTGGCATTGGGAGATAGGTCTGGGGACCCCCGGATCCTGCCATTTGGACCTGTCAGGGGGGCAGGTACGTCTTGGGGTCCCCAGGGAAGGGCAGGGCAGGCGCCTTGTTGAAGTGAGCCATGAGGAAAATGCCAATGGTGCCGCACACAAAGAGCGAAGCCATGATGAAGAAGCAGACGCGGTCGATCACTCTCCCCACCAGGATCCATTCCTCGTTCTCCTGTTGGCTCATACCAAGGTGATGATGAGGGCCCATCCCACCGCCCCCAGCCCTTCTGTGCCACGTGCCCCCAACTCACGCTGCTGAAGTCATTCTGCTCTCGCGTGGCATTGGCAATGTGGTTGCAGGCCTCAACGCACGCCCGGATCTCAGGGCTCGCCTCCTCCAGGCTCTGGCAGAAGTCCTGCGCACAGTTGTTCTCCAGGCCACGTCCTGCATGACCCAGCATCACTCAGTGCATTGGTAAGTGCCTCACATCCCTGCCCAGATGCTACTCACTCACCAATCTTCTCCAGCACGGTTTTCATCAGTCCATCTCTCTCCTTCTGCTTCTCAAAGAGAAGCTCAGTCCGGGCTTTCCATAGCATGTACTCATCAGCTTTCACCATCAGCCCCAGGGAACTGCGTCGCCGGGTGGCTGGCGGCGGCCCTGGGGCCTCCTCTGGCATGTGCATGCCCAGGTAGCGGGGCAGGAGGTGCAGCCACAGCTGGGAACATGGACATGACCCACCCAAATTGCCCAGGTGTGATTATGTTCCCCCCGCTGGGGAGCATCCCATTAGGGTACACTCGTGCCCGTGGGCAACTACTGCTCCCCAGTGTTCAGTAGCTTGGTGGTTCTGTATGGTCCCCTGGGGATGTGTAGGGGTCCCCAGTCTGCAGGGGGGACCAGAGATACTGACCCCATTTCCCACGGGGCAGGAGAATGGAGACAGTTACCTGGCGCACCCTCTGCGACATGGAGTGAGTGTTGGGTGTTCTCAGCGAGACGTTGAGGACGATGACAGCATTCACCACAATCACCACTGTCACTACCATGAGGAAGGTCAGGTACCTGGGGAGGGAACATGGGGCCTCAGCAGGCAGTGCAACCACTGGATTACAAGCTGTGATAAGTCCATTTTGACACCAAAAGAAACTGGAGATTAGCAGGGGGACATGGGCATGTGATAGCCCTATGCCAGCCCTGCACATGGAGGGATGGGATGTGGCTGTCTGTGAGCCCTGGTTCCCTCTCCCCTGTCTTCCTAGAGTATGGGCAGACTGGAGGTGGTTTCCACCTGCCCGTGGCACCTGCAGACCTGCTTGCGTGGTGCTCCCCATCCCCTTGCATCACTTACTTCCCGATGAGTGGCACTGCCTGGGAGGTCTCGGGCACCTTCTGGGCAATGAGGAAGAGAAAGACAGTCTGGGCCAGAAGGACGTTGATGGAGACGGTGCACTTCTGCCCCCCCGCTGAAAAGCAAAGGGTAAGGTTGACGGGGGACAATGGTGCAGGCATAACACTGCTTTGCCAAAGGGCTGCCATGCCCCAGCACTGACCCAACCAAGTTCTACAAGAGAGCTTAACTCTAAGGTGCCCAGAAATCCACCTCAAATCCCAAGTATAATAGAATCATTAAGGCTGGAAAAGACCACAAAGACCATTGAATTCAGCTGTTGACCCATCACCACCATGCCCACTAACCCACATTCCTATTACTGCACTCTGTGCCCACCAGCTAGAGTACCTTTGGCAGGCAGAAAGTAGACCAGCACAGCCATAGAAGAGATGAGGACGCAGGGCACAATGATGTTGATGATGTAGAAGAGTGGCTTGCGTTGGATGATGAGGTAAAAGATCACCTGCTGGTACTGGATGTCATCTGGGGTGAAGCGCCCCGAGTTGATGATCTTCCGTGCAGGGCGGTGCTTGATGGCCCATTCTCCATTCTCTGCCATGCAGCAATGCCATCATTTGAGTCCCCACGTTGAAGTGGCACCAGGTGGGAGGAAAGGGCCATAGCCACCATAGAGAGCTGAGCACCCAAGGGTGCTCCAAAATTCCCCTGGGAGCTTGTAGGAGGGGATACCTGCAGCCCTTTGGGGATGAGTTATGTGCAGGGCTGGGAGTCCCCCATCTCCCTGCCACCAGGCAGCCGTGGGGAAGCCGAGCGTGACGCTTTATTAAGGCACGTTGTTTTCCCCCGCTGTCTGCAGGAGCGATAGATTTTTCCCAATCAAGATCGCAGCTTGGGCCGGTAATGAAAAAATAAATCTCGCTGCCCAAAAAGCATTTTGTTCCTTCAATATGCAATTAAAATGTGATGGAAAACGTCATCGTTTGGCCGTGACAGATACGTTCCCAGCATCAATCAAACTGCCAGGAGCAGCTCTCCGGGAGGGACTGCCAAGTGGTGAGTGCTGCGAGCCAGGGGGGCTGGTAAAACAAATCTCTCCCCCCCTGCTCCCTCTTCCACTAATAACTTAAGTGCCCGTGTAATGGCAAGGGCTGCTAACAGCCCCCGCCCTCTGACTCTGCCTGATTTCAGCAGCTACTGGCATTGGTGCAAGCTGTGGGGCATCATAGAGTGGGATGCCTGTCCTTGGAATGTTTGTCCTTGGGATGCCATGGGGAGATCATGGGGTTACCTGTGAAGGCTTCAGGGTCAATGAAGATCCACTCTATAGTCTGGCCTTCCTCCACTGTCAGCAGCAGGTTGATTTCATTCGCGCTGTAGGTCTGGGACCTGGGGAGGGGCAGAGGGATGGCACCAGTGAGAAAGTAGCAGTTGGAGGTTGCCCGCGGCAGAGGTGTTAGAACTCAACAGTCTTTGAGATCCATTCCCCTCTAAGCTGTTCTATGAAAGTGACACTGTGTCATGCCGGTCACTCTTGTCCCTGTTGTATGGGAGTTTAACTGGGCAAACATGTCTCTTGTCACCCATGGTTAGCCAGGTGCCAGGTCAATGGCACTCACCCATTCTAGGACTCATTGAAAGATGCCCACTGTGGAGCAAATTGGGACATCTCACATCTGTCCCTATGGGACCACCCCCAACACCACAAGCTGTGCTCACTGGAAGACCATGGTGCAGTTCTGCCAGTCAAAGGGGAAGTAAGTGACGTGGATGGAGCAGGAGCTGCGGTAGATGGCGGGGGGCAGCCAGTAGATGCTGCCATCAGGGTACACCAGCACGTTGGTGTAGAGTGTGATCTCGAATGTCCCATCGATGCTGGGGGGGAAAAGAGCAGGTTCAACTCCAAAGTGAGGCCAACCACTGGTGGGAAAGTGTCCCTGCTGTACCCTAGCATGGCCTCACTTGTTCTCCAAGACAATGTCGGGCAGCCAAACCATGGTGGAGGGCACCCGCAGCTGCTGGATGTCATCATATTTATCAGGGTCCCACCGCAGGCGATAGTCAGACCATTGCTGGAGAAGGGGAGCAAAGCGTGGGAGTCATGATGCTCCCTGGGGCTGCCCCAAAAGGAGCATCCACAACAAGGAGTGTAGGTTATGGTGCCAGCCCACCACAAATTGCCATCAGGGGTGATCAGGGGGTGTCCTGCCTGAGATCTCACCATCTCGATCCAGACATTGGTGGTGAGGGTCTCCTCCCGCTCATTCTGACAGGGAAGGAAGGAGGGAGGCACCTTTAGCTCCACCATCCCATCCCACCAGCGCCACCCAGCTCCAGCAGCATCACCCCAGCACCCCAAATCCATAGTGCTGAGGGAGTCTCACCAGGGAGATGAGGTTGGTGAGGGTGAGTTTGAGGGTGACGTCAATGACCTGGTCCCCACGCAGCGCTGGGCGCAGGTGGCGATTGTAGTTGGTCATCAGGTCCTGGAGCAACTTCTCCTCCTGATTCCTGCAGCTTATGCCTTAGGGTGGAGGCACCCCGGGAGGGGACGGGAAGCTTAGTGCTGCCCTTGGGGCAGTACTGATATGGCTGGGGGCGTGCATGAGGAGGGGGTGAATGTAAAGCCTCGGTGGTGTGCAAGCAGGGCATGGGGACAGCACACAATGCTGTGCACCCACGGGTGACAAAACCCCAGGGAAAAGGTGGTGGAAGGGGACACCAGGGACTCTTCAGCCTCCCCTCTCCCCGGAGCTGCCCCTCTCCCTGGGGTGGGCACACCTTACCTGGCAGGGCACAGAGGACGAGGAGGAGGAGATCGGAGCAGCGCATGTTGGAGCTGCAGGCGCAGGGCTGGGGCTCTGCTCAGTCGCCTGCGCACCAGCGTTCTGGGCCTGGCGCCCACTGGGATGGGACAGCTGTCCCTGATCCCATCAGCTGTTCTCAGCAGCAATGAGGGATAAGGGAGGGGTGAGTGACAACCCACGTCTCCCCTTCTGTGCTGGTGGGGTGATAGCAGCGTGCTAGGAAGAAGGGCTGGATTTGGGGTTGGGGACCAAAGGAGCTCCATGCCTCAGTTTCCCCATATCCCCTGCAGTGATGTGTATAGCTTCATAGCAGAAATCTGCAGCTATGTGTGCACTCTTGCAACCCCCCCCAGCCAGTGCTTTGTGTCCCCCTTAGTGGCCACTAGTGGTCCCCAGGGTGGGGAAGTCCCCAGCTCGGTCTGGGGAGCAATGCCTATCCCAAGGCTATGAGTCCCATTCAGCCCCATGTCAGTGCATTCCTGTCTTAGAGGAGAGGATGTGACAGCTGTCCTGGGCCCCCACCGGCATGGGGACATCAGCTGTGTCCCTTGAAACCGGAGCTGTGCAGGGAAGGAGGCACCCTCTGGGAGCCAGTGGGGCACTGAGCGATGGGACACTTGTGGGTCTGAATGGGGGTTGTGGGTCCCATTTAACCACCAGTTCTGCACCCCACATTGTGAAGCACCCAGCTTTATTTCTCCTAGCCGCAACAGGTAGGCAGGAAGGAGTGGAGGGGCTGCCAGAAAGGACCCTACCCCCACTCTCAGGGCTGCCCTATATGTAGCGCTTGTTCTCCTCCCGGTAGTCGAAGGGGTCTCCAGAGAAGGGCAGTGGTGGTGGGTGGTTGTAGATGCCCATGAGGAAGATCCAGAGAGTGCCCACCACTAGCATGGGGGTGATGAGGAACAGGCAGAGGCGGTCCAGGGTGCGTGCCACGCGGTTCCAGTTGTCCTTCTCCTGGGGAAGGAGCCAGGAGCAGAGCATGGGGAGCCTAGGGATCCCACTCTGCCCCATCATTCCCCACTGTGCCCATGGTCCCCACCTCATTGTAGCTGTTTTTCTCCCGCATATGCTTGACAATGAAATTGGCCTCATCCAGGGTAGGTTTCAGGTGATCATAGAGCTGCTCCTCGCTTGTGGCTGCTGATGCAAAGCCTGGGGATGGGATGACCCTGAGCTCCCAAGGACAGCAGCCACCCACCCCATATCCCCACATTCCCACAGGGGGGCTGAGGCTCACGGGCAGGGGTGACACGGCTAGACAGCCCATGCCTCTCTGACTGCTTCTCAAACATCAGCTCGCTGCGGGACTTGACGCTGTAGTACTCCTCTGCCTTGGCAATGTACCCGGCCGAGCTGCAGCGTCGGATGCACGGGGCACCTGCTGGGCTCTCAGCTGGGTGTGACATGTGCAGCAAGCGGGGCAGGATCTCCAGGAACACCTGGCATAGGACATGCCACCGTGTCCCCACTTTCTGTCCTCAACTAAGCATACAGCTGCCTGCAGTAGTACAGATCGGACACCCCGGTGCCATGACGCACAGTGGCTGCCCTCCCTTGCCCATCACCCCTTCACCTCTTTGACCCAATCGGACATGATGTGAGTGCTGGGGGTGCGGAAATGGAAGTTGAGGACCACGACGCAGATCACCACCACGGCCGTCACCAACAGCATGATGAACAGAAGGTACCTGTGGGGGTGGAGAACACAGATCTGGGGCTGGTATAGTTGCAGGGGTCTGGGGAGATGCAGAGCCATTCTCTGCCACCCTGGGACTGTGAGATGTGCCCCAAAACTCACTTGCCAATGAGGGGGATGGCATGGGAGGTGGCAGGCAGGCGCTGGGAGACCAGCAGAAGGAAGACAGACTGGGCCAGGAGCACCGAGATCACCAGAGTCATCTTCTCACCACCTGGAGAGCAGAGGGAGCCGTCCCATGTCCCCCTTCCCAGTGTCCCACCCTACATTGCTCCATATAGGGCTTTATGCTCTAGGGGTAGCCTAGGGTCCCATTTGGGTTATCCCATGCCCTGCTCAGGGGTGGTTGGATGGTGTCCTGCACAGAGTTGTCATAGTGCTGTGTTGGACATTGGGGTATCCACATGTTCCAGGATAGGTATGGGACTTGGGTGTCCCCATGCCCAGTGTAGGTGCCACTCACTGTCAGCAGGCAGGTAGAAGACAAGGATGGCCATGAAGGCAATGAGGACACAGGGTGTGACGATGTTGATGACGTAGAAGAGTGGCTTGCGCTTGATGATGAGGTAGAAGGTGATGTCCTGGTGCTCGCTGCTCTCAGTGGGGTAGCTGGGGTGGATGTTCTTGCGGGCCGGGCGGTGGATGATTTCCCATTCGCCATTTTCTGTTGGGACACACGGGACAGCATGGGGGATCCTGAGCCCCGTACAGGATGTCCCACTGACCCAGGACTCAGCAAGGAGCACCAGCGCTACCCGTGAAGCCTTCAGGGTCGATGATGATCCACTCCACCCGGTAATACTTTTCGGTCTCTGGGTCACTCTCTTCCTTCAGGTGCATGCTGATCTCCTGCGCATTGTATGCCAGTGAGCTGAAATGTGGTAGGATACAGGCGGTGAGGGTCTGTGCCGACCACTTTGTCCTCTCTTCCCATCTTCTGGCACAACGACTGGGAACGTGCCAGACCCCACACCTGAATTTGAGGGTGCAGTTCTGCCAATCAAAGGGGAAGAAGTTGACGTTGATGGGGCAGGCGCTGCGGAAGATGGCGGGGGGCAGCCAGTAGACATAGCCAGTGTTGTAGACCAGCACGTTGCAGTAGTAGGCGACTTCGAAGAGCCCGTCATTGCTGCATGAGAGAAACTGAGGTGATGGCAAGGCAAGGGAGAGCCCTGGGCACTGAGCACAGCTCTGGCTGAAGGTGCTTGCCCAGGGAAATTGGGGAGGTGAACCAAGCTCTGCTCACTTGTTCTCCAGGACTATCTCAGGGAGCCACAGCATCTCTGGCAGCAGGCGGAGCACGTCGACACCCCCGAATTCAGATGTGTTCCACTGCAGACGGTAATCAGTCCAGCTCTGGTAGGAGACACGCTTGGGTCACCTCACCATGACCACGCCAATGGCACCCCTTGCCCATGGGTTTGGCATGGGGATGATGGTACTGAGAGGAAAGAGGGGTCTGGGCAGGACTTTGTCAGTGATGGCCCCAGTCCCCTCAACCCCTCCTGTCCCTACTCACTTGTTCGACCCATACGTTGGTGGTGAGTGTCTCGTCCACCTCTTTCTGCAATAACATGGGGGACACTGAGATGCCGTGGCCATACCCCCTGACCAAACCAAGACCTTCAACCCAAGGCAGCCCTTGGAGTACAACTGCCCACTGGGGCTCACCAGTGAGATGAGGTTGGAGAGGGTGAGGGCCAGGTAGACATCCACAACCTCGTCGGCAGAGGCAACGGGGCGCACCTCCTTGTTGTAGCCTCTCTCCTCAAAGAGGTAATGGATGAGCCGCTCCTCCTGGTTAACGCAGAGCCCACCTGGGGGGCTCGAGGTCAGGCAGAGGGGTTGGGCAGAGGCAGACAGAGGGTATGGGTGCACAGCGTGTCAATGCCATGCAGGGACAGGGAGATGGGCACCCAGATGTGGTGCATGTGCACAGGAATGGCACACTTATGAGTACACATACGCATGCACGGACACAAACACAGGGATATACAAACACATGGATATAGAGCCATGTAGGGACAAACTAGTACAAGATGCCAGTGCAGAAGCCATGGCATTGGGCATGGGGGTAGGTGCACACATGGACATAGACTAGGACACATAAGGATACATGTGTGCTCATCTGGGACACAGACACCACCACCCCAGCCCCAACCTCACTGCAGTGACCCAGGAACCCCCAGCATCCTTGTACCCAAACCCCACGGCTCCGCTCACCCGACAGCACCAGTGCCCCAAACAAGGCCAGCAGCACTGCCATGTCCCCCATGCGGTGCCTGCGGTGCCTTCGTGCCGTGCCAGCTTCTCGCCACCTCCCTGCTTGGCCTGCCTGAGCGGATGTCCGGCCGCAGAGATGGATGGTGCCAGGTGCTGGGGGGAAGGCTGCCGGCTCCGGATACCCACTCTGGCCCCCCTGCTTCCGGCACCCCCACGCCCAGAGAAGGGAGACAGGCAGGAACAGCTGGGCTCACCACCCCTCAGTGCCATCTTGTCACCTGAGTGCTTGGAGGAGCAGTCCCTTCACTGCTCAGCAGATGCTGCTGGGAGACGTGGAGGTGCTGGCACCTAATCAGTGCCTATGGCACATGTGGTCTGACACTGGTGTGAGTTTTGGTGAGGGTCCTCACTGGGGTGGCACAGGGTGCTGTTCTCTGGGGTGAAGAGTGCTGTGAGTGGTGAGTACACAACCTTCCCCCCCCCCCCCCCCCCCCCCCCCCCAGTGCCAGGGGAAGGACCTGAGGATGGGGGATGTTTCTTGGGGGTGGGAAGTGATGGGGGGGTAACACGGGTGTCACATCCTGCTGATGCCCACCTCACTGGCACCGCTCAGCATGTCACTTGTTTCATCCTCACCAGCTACCAGAAAATAGAGCCTTTCTTTATTGAAAAATAAACCTTTCTCTGTACAAATAAATAAGAGGTGTGCATGGGGAACAGGAGTCATTCCTCATCCCCTGCCAGCACCCCTAGGTTTTCAGAGCCTCAAGTGCCAAGGCCACGAGGCCAGGCATGCTGCGTGCCAGCGAGTCACTCTCCAGCCCCACCAGCCCAGCAAAAGCCGTGGGCCGGCCGCCCACCGTGGCCCGCACCTGCGCCCGGTACAACCCCTTGGTGTTTTTGGAGCTCAGGTCCACCAGGATCTGTAGGAGGAGGAAAACGCTGTTAGCCCCACAGCTGGGGAGATATTGAAATGCTGCCAATAGCACTGCTCGCACCTCCTGGAAGGTCATGGCCAGATCTGGCTCTGGCACCTGCAGCACCCAGGCATAGAGCTCCTGTACCACGCCAACCCGCAGTGCAGAAGCATTGAGGCCAGGGCAAGCTGCAACTGGGGGGAAATAGGAGAGAGATGGAAGGGGGGTGTCAGGGGTTGTGCAGGGGCACCGTGCTGCAGCCAGCCTCAGGCTGGGGTGCAGTGCTGGGGTTGGATTTGTCACCATCCCCATAGCATCACATAGCACAGGTGCTGCAGGGTGCTTACCTCTGCCTGTGCCTGCCTCCTCCCCCTCTTCCTCCAGCCCTGGCATTGTGGGCACCAGCTCTCGTTTCTCTCTGTGCACTGCCCCTGCATGAAAACATAATTGGTGATACTCTCAGTTGGCACTGCCTGGGCATGGAGCTCAGTGCTGGATATCCCCACGCTCCACCAATCCCATATCTAACCAGCCCCGTACCCTACCAAACCTCCCCCCCAGGGCTCACAGTTCTGCACAAGGTTCCCAACTGGCTCTCCAGTTGGCTCTCTGAGTGCCTGCATGGCCTCCAACGGTGTGTCAAGGTCCATCTCTGCCCGGAGCTGAGTGAGGAAGGCTCTGCCCTGTCCCACCAGCTCCTCCACCAGCTCCTCACCCTGCTACAGGGAAGGGGAGGGGGACAGTGCAGACAGTGGGGCACCCATGGGGTGCTGCAGGGGTATGGTCCCTGCTGGCACCATCATGGGGGCAGTGCTCCACTCAGCCCATTTCTCTGCAAGTACCTGTAAGAAGAGCCATGTCTCCTCAGGGAGCTGCTCCCCATCTGGGGTGGGTGTCAGAGTGCTGCCCCCCACTGTGGCCCTCAGAGCCTGCACCCAGTCCTGCAGCCGCGGCCCCACAGACCCAAAAAACTCCCTGAAGGTGGGCAGCTGCCTGCAAGCACAGGAGGGTGAGCTCAGGTGGGTGCCTGGTGCCACCCATCCCCTGGGCACTGCCACCTCACATGCACCCCTGGTGGGTCTTGGGAAGAGCAAGACCCTGCTGTTGAATGCAAGAAGCCATATCAGTGCTGACCTCCTCAAAACCTGTCCCCTCTTCTGCCACAACCCATGATGCCCACACATCCCCCTTTACCTGTGGGTTGGTCTCAGGGGTCCCTCAGATGTGGGGTGCTCGACCATTACTGGGTCTGCAGAGACAAGCAGGAGGGACAGGGTGTCAGGCGGTCCAGAGCAGGGTGTTGGTCTTCCAGCCATCAGCACAGGGGTGGCACATCCCCAAAAGGAGGCACAGCCCATGTGGGTACCTGGGGTACCTCTACGGATGCGGACAGGGAAGAGATGACCATAGATCTTGCCCAGGAGCTGGGGCAGGGTGCGGGTGAGGAAAGAGAAGTCAAGCTGGTTTCGGATGAAATCCCCAGCCCGGCGCAGGAGACCCACCAGGGTCTGGGCATAGGAATGCAGCTCTGTGGGTTCAGCAAGAGAGCTCTGTCCCCAGCCCCATGCCAACCCAGCTCAGTCCCCCAACCCTGTGCTATCACTTCATCTCACCGCATCGCCTCATCCGGGCACGGCACGTCTCATTGGCAAGGTTGGTGCAGCTGGCTTGGCCTGGGGCAGCCCGGCAAGACCCCGCATAGAAGGAGCAGAGACGGGTGTGCTCGAGGGGCTGCTGCTCAGGGGGCAGCTGGGACAGGGCCAGCAGGTCAAAGCAGCTTGGCTCCCAGCTGCCAGGAACAGCTGCGAGGGCACATTGCTGCTGTGAGATGCTGAGCCCCCTGGGATGTTACCCCGTGACCCACACTGGCACTCACGGTCCATCTGCAGGCTGAGCCAGTCGGCAAAGGCAGCCACGCGAGTGTAGACACCTGGCTTACCCCGCTCACCACAGCCATCACCCCACGAGGTGATGCCATACAGGACAAAGCGGTGCGAGGAGGGGTCCTGACACACCAGTGGACCACCCGAGTCACCCTGGGGGGGGACAGCTGCACATCAGGCCAAGCAGGACAGGCTGTGTGCTCACCCCATGCCCAGGGCACTGCCATGTTGTGGGTTGGCATTACCTGGCAGGAATCGATGCCCCCAGACAGATATCCGGCACAGAACATGGCGCTGGTGAGCAGCTCTCTGCCCAGAGCTGCCCGACACGTCTCCTGGCTGAGCAGGGGCACCTGTGCCTCCATCACCACCTCAGCCGACGGCCCCTCTGCCAGGCAAGGTGCCCATTACGGGGTATCCCATGCTTGGAATGCCCACCTTTGGCTTGGTGGCTCAGCACCGAGCGCAGACCCCATGGGTGCTGGTTGGCACCTACCTTCATACAGGGACCCCCACCCCGCAATGTGACAGGGGGTGCCAGGGCTGGGCTCGGTGGTACCGCTGGGCAGGCACACGGGGCTCACGGTGCCTGATGGTGCCAGCGGCTCCGCCAGCTCCAGCAGCGCCAGGTCCCCATGAAACGACTTGGGATTGAACTGAGGGAGATGAAGGGAGTGTAAGTGAGGAGTTATGGGGAGCGTAGGAATGATCTGGAAGTGCCCACCTCCACCAACCTTGGGGTGAGGCACGATGCGTCGCACAGGCACTGCCCGCTCCCCAGGGTCCGCCTTGCCCAGCTCGTGGTCACCCACCACCACCGTCCATGCCAGCTCATTCTGGTTCCTGGCACAAGGATGGAGAGCAGCGATTTAGGCTGGTGAGACAGCAGCGCTGCCCCACACCCCCATCCCCACACCATACCCGTTGAAGCAGTGGGCAGCAGTGAGGGCCCACGTGTGGCTCACCAACACCCCACCGCACACCAGCTCCCCGTGCAGCCGCACCGACACCAGCCATGGCCAAGCCCCGCGCCGGGCCGCGCTGCCGCCCATGATGCGTCCTCGTGGGGCTGTGCTGTTGGTGGAGGGGTCCGTCCGGCTCCCGCAGCGCTCTGAGGGGATAAAGCTGTGAGGAGTGTGGCCGTGGAGGGAGGGGGCAGCGCGGGTAGGACGCGCTGTCACGCCTCATCGTGCTCACGGAGGCGAGCGGGCAGTGGGCCGGGGGCACCCCGCGGGCCGGCAGCTGCCGACGCTAACCTCTGCCCCCGGCACAGCGTGGGGCTGGGGGCTGTGGGGGTGGCGGGGGCTGCTGTCCCCGGCTCACCTGGCATCGTTGCTGCTATGCTGGGATTTGGGGCTGCCTTCGCCAGCACTGTGGAATGAGTTGGTGTGGTGGGTGGGGGCCATGTGTCCGCTGCCCTCAGTGTCGCACAATGTCCTTGTTGTCTCCAATGGCTCTGTGTCCCCAGTCTGTACCCCCAGTGTCCTGTTCCATTCCAGATCCTCCACCCCTCAGTGTGTCTGTGCCCTCGATCTCTCCATTCCACCCCATATTGCCCTGTTCCACTTCGATCCCTCTGTGATCCTTCCAGTGCTCCATCCCACTTCTGAACTCTCATTTCTCATCCCACCTCCTCCCCTGTATCATCTCCAATGCCCCATCCCCATTTCCACACCCCTCCCAAAACCTCCATCCCACAGATCTCATCTGGATCCCAGATCCCTCCTTCATCCCCAGCTCTTTTCCTCCTAATCCCACTCATGTTCCCAATCACCCCTCAATGCCTCCACTCCCATTTTCCCATCCTAATGCTTCCAGCCCACAAATCTCACTCCACATTCCTCTTTCATTCCCAGTTCTTCTTTCCCTCATTTCACCACACAATACTCCATCCTCCAACCTCCCTCTCCCCTCTCACCCCATCACCCCCCCAGCCTCCCTCTCCCATCCCATCCCACCCTCACTGCCCCATATGCCCTCCAGGCAATCTGATGCCTCATTTGTTATTGTAGGGTCTCCCCTTTCCAGGAGATGCCCACTCACAGCACTCCTGGAGGCGGTGCTGGCAGCGCTGGGCACTGAGCAGGGTGCAGGCAGGCTGAGTGCCCTGGGGGGGGCACAGGCGCAGGTAGGAGGCACACGCCTGGCTCAGAGCCCAGTGGCGTTGGGGCAGTTCGGGCAGATCCTGGGCATCCAGCAGGGCCTGGCAGCTGGGGGGCACGGCAGGGGGCATGGCAGGGGCTGTGGGGACAGTGAGGTTGTGGGCATCCC